CTCTTACGGTTAACATGTTAACTCTTACGGTTAGAGTTAACATGTTAACCGTAAAAGTTAACATGTTAACATGATAACCATGATCCGCTGGCATGAGAAAGGGGATGGTAAAATTGGGATTTAAGCCAGCTGGCATGTCTAATCATCCAATGACATAAGCTGGAATCACGATGGAGGGGCTTGGACAAAATTTTTTCAAAAACAAGGGGATGCAGCACATTAAAAAAAAATATAGAACGCTAGGACACATTGAAAGTTGGATTTTGAGACCTAGAAGCAATTTTCCCTATTTAAAAAGGTTCCCGGTTGATTGCAATTTTTACGGTAACCATATTTAAAAAGGTTTCCGGTTGATTGCAGCCACCTTGACTTATTTTTTTTAATGAAATTTCAATTCAAATATCGAAAATACTCATAAAATAGACGTGTCAGGTCAGCGTCTCATCTATTCTTATAACCAAAGTTGGCATACCTTCAATGTATTTACCAAGTGAAATTTGGATGTTTCAATTGAAGTTCAACCAAAAAATAGGTCCAAGTGGTTAATTGCAACCGGAACTTCCTCTAAAAATGGTTTCTCTATAAATTGAACTTTGAAGGTGGTTTAATTTTCCCTCTGTTTTAAAGGTGTTTTTTTTTTTGTGAAAAAAAACCAAAAACCACAAGACCTATTACATGCAAATGAAGTTACAGCGGGTCATTTTATTTTTATTACATGAACTTGTAAATGCAGTTCCATGGTTTGATTTTAAAAATTTTACAATTTAGAGCTGAAATTTTAGTTGTAGATGTTTGTTTTGGAGTACGATATCAGTTCTTTCAAACTCAGTTTGGGATTGACATCAACAACTATATCTATAAATTAATTATGGGGCGCATTCAAATTTAAGCTTGAATTTACAGCGAACAACCACAATTAATCCAAAATGTCTCAGTTACATGCAACCACAGTAGCGAACCACACAAGCCCTATAGGTAGCTTCCTGTACCATTCACCGAGCTCTCACCATGGATCACAAAACGATTACTAATTACAAAATAATAATAATAATAATAATGAAAAAAAATTAAAAAACTAAATAAATAAAACGATTTCATTGTGGATGTTTAGAATGAAAGCTCTCACCATGATACTGATCGAGTATAAATCATTTATTCCATAAGACTACCTTTTTCAGTAAAGCTCATCTAAGCAAAGATAATTGAAGCTTGACAACTCTAATGAAGATGTGACAATAAAATTCAATTAATTTTTCTGCAACTAAATGAATATAAAATCAGAACAAATGAAAATTGAAGATGAACATTAGTTACAGTCGAATAAAATGTAAAAGCATCAATGTAAATCATCTTGATGCAAAGAAACAGCTCCCGATGCGTTGTTGAAAGTTTCTGAATTATTTCATAAGTAGAAATAAGATCGTTTTTATCAAAATTATGAGATCCTTGAACGGTGAACTGCATTGAGATTTCAACAAATAGAGAGAAGGAATCCAGTCTTTGAATATTGAATGGTAAAAGCCTAAAATGATACAAAAACACTTTTGTGTGTCATTGTTGTTAAACTTGACACACAACAGCGGTACTCAATTATACTTCGAATGCAGAATGCTCACCCAATATCCTACACTATTGAGCAGATTTTGGATGCAAAAAGCTCAATTCTTCTTCTCCTCCTTTTCTTCTCCTTTTTTTTTGTGTTGGAGTG